AATGCCTAGAAATCCTTCAAGGAGGTAGAATCCCTATTTTCTCTATGATTTTCTATTAGGAATTGGTTTTGGTTCCTTTAACTCATCTGCTTGGAATTTTTATTATATATATATAGGGCTGGATATATTATATATATATAGGGCTGGATCCCACCAGCTTTCTATGAGTTCAAGAAGACGGAGGGGCAGTCTCACCCGATTTCCCATCCCAGATGGCTTTTTGTCCTGGCCTAGACCTTTGCGTCCCTGAAAAGAGCCCTCCCTGTCTTTCTGTTGTCAGCAAAACAAAGCTGGCAGGCTCCAAAGAGGCTGTAGCCTTAGCTTTGATGCAATCAAGGCTAAGTCAGCAGAGTCTAATAAAACATCAGATATTAATTCCCTCCAATTAAGTTTTTTTTAATGGGCCATCATAGAGAATTAAAAAAAAAAAAAAACTCAGCCAGCAGATATGCTAATAGAGCTATGAAAGGCAAAAAAGCATCGCTTACCAGTTCATTTTGCTACTGGAAAACTTCCATAATGAGCTTCTTTTTCCTGCAGATGAAAGAATCCGTTCCATTCTTCGTCATCAAAACTTACTAAAGGAGCTGCAGGAGATTGCAGTCCAAGGTACCATTTGGTGGGAATGATGCCAGGGGGGGGTCTTACTAGGGGGTGGCACAGTGGCAGAGTACCTGTTTTGCATGCAGAAGATCCCCGGTTCAGTTCCCTGAATCTCTAGTTTAAGAAATCTTGGGTGAGTGAGCTCAATGTAAGACTGAACTAGCTGGTGGTGAAATCACTGGAGTGCATGAAATTAAGGAGCAGAGGGGACAGGGTTTAGGTTTTCTTGTTCGTACGCTTTGTTTTTGTTTAATGACACCTTCTCATCCACACACACAAATGCACTGTTTTGGTTATGAACAGGTAGAGGATCCCCTATGGAAACACATGCCAGTGTCACAAAATAGATAGAAGACCTGGGTGGTAGTCCATGGTCATGTTATCAACCCCTGGCATTTGCATGCATGGCATGGAGATAAGC